AAAATAAACACAGCTAAAGTCGAGACGGAAACACTTAAAATCAAGTCCGCTAATCGCATTTGGAGATGGAAACCGGATAATAAAAATTTTGCTCCTGCAGAGATCAAGCCAGTGCTTTACAAGAAGACGCCTATTGATAAGGGTCTACCTGGTATTCTGACTATTAACGGTATTTACGAGAACGAAGGAACATATTTAAATTCTGAGGTGCTTATCTTGCCATACATCAAAGATTCCAATGGCTATCCGTTGCCTCCGAAGTCTCCGTTGCTAAAACTACCGCTAAATGAAAAATTGGGTAACTGGCATACTGTGGAACTGATCCCTGACTCTAATGGCTTGATCAATTTGATCGCAGTCGCAAACTCGGATGGAACAGTAGACGTATTCACAAAAGAAGGAAAAAGGAAAAACTCTTTCAATTTGCCACACGCACATGGACTCGTTTGGGATGGCAAAACATCGACTCTATTTGCACTTGGCCATACGGATCTGCAGACATATCAGCTAGACCCCAAGGATTCCTCAAATTTAAGGCTATTAACAACACTTGACTTCTCGGAATACTATGAAAATAAGAATAAAGAGAGAGAGCAGGATAAGGACGGTGGGCACGACTTATGCCCTGTTCCGGGCGAGAGGAAACTTTTTTTGACAACGGGTGAACGGACATTTAAATTCGACATAGACGAGTATGAAAAGCTCATTCCGAAAGGAAAAAAGATATTGGAACGTTATATACTTAAAAAAGATGGAAAGGTATTAAAACCTTACCAGCCAATGTTTAAAATAGATAGCAAGTATTGGCGACACATCGCGTCAGACGAAACAACTTCTCCAAAGGCGAAAGGGTTGAAAAACAGAGTAACGCCAAAGAAAGGAGGAGTAAAGTCAATCTCCCAGATCCCTGGGACGAGTGTTGTCATCGCTCACGCTGCGCCTTGGTTCGCTTATAGTAGTGAGCTGGGTGATAATGAGGTGGAGTATCCGTACACTTCGAATTTATTGCTAGTTACCACAGGCCCAGAGGATAAGCCTCTCCCGGATGATAAACTTATTGACGTTGATCTAACTAAAGGACATAAAATCGAATTTTCGGAAGCAATCTTCTATAAGGCGCGTGTATTGGACTTTCCCAAATAACCGCGATTGAAATAATTAATAATTAAAATTTGGACTTTGTATAATTTACTATTTCAGAAAAATTTATGTAAAAATATCAATTTTTCTAACCATATGTCCCTTAGGTAACTGCAATTAGTTAAGAGCATTGAAGAAATCCTTTTTGACTTTTATAGAAAAGATGCTAAATTTAAGCATGTATGTATCCACTATGCTTGTTCTCATAACATTCATTGTAATTGAATAAATTTTGGGTTGATAGGTATTTAGACTTATTACATCTATCTCCGAAATAGACTACTTGCCGAATTAAACTCCCCAAGCTTTCAGCCTAAAATTGGGCACAAAAAGTGTATGTACAGAGTATGACAAAAATTAGGCCATTTTTTTTAAAGTTTTTTATAAAACATAGTACATTTAAATATCGAAATTTTTTTCCATAAAAATTTAATCTTACAGTTGAACCTCGATATAATGAATACATAGTAAATTCGAGTTTTTATTTTTAGCTTTTATATTAAATAAGTTTTGATATAATGAAACTATTGTAAAACCTTAATCTATCGAATTTTGAAAATTTGAGATTAACAACTCGATCCTTTCGTTCGAGGTTCAACTGTATTAATAATTTGGCAATCAAAAATGATGCTTGAATTTTTTACTAATTTTCATTACATATAAAAGTTTTTTTTAGTTTATTAATAAATATTTATTATTAAGTTAAAATAAAGATAGAATTCTCTATTTTAACCTATATTTTTTTCTGAGTTGTTCTAATTGCATAATTAATTTTTACTAATTAATAGTTAATAAAAATTAATTAACTTATATGCAATTAAAACAACTCTCTTAGCAAAATCTGAAAAAAATCTATATTAAAATAAAGAACTCTAGTTTTATTTTGAGCTAAAAGTAAAAAGTATTTATTTATAAAATTAAAAAATTTTTAATGAAAATTATGTATTTACTAATAATAATTAGTAAAAAAAATTTAATCATTGTTATTGTAAATATTTTTTGTTTATAAATTTTTTATTAAAAATGAAATTTAATTATAAAAAGATTTTTGTAATCACTTTGCAATACAACTTTCAAAAACAAAAAATATATATTATTATAGATTATTATCTTTGCTTTAATATATAAACTAAATTTAATATTAAAAATTATATAAAAAATGATAGTTCATTTTGAAATTATAAATATATTGATTTATTATTAATTAAAATAAAAATAAATTATATATAAATAGAATTAAATATAGAATAATTGAAAAATATTTCTAAAAATAGAATCTTAAAAAATAAAAAAAAATTTTGATAAAATTAGCAAGCTTATTATAATAAATTTTTTAAATAATAATAATTTTTTAATATAATATTAAAAAAAATTATATTTTATTAAAAAAAATATATATAAATATTTCTATATAAATATATTTAATTATAACTTAATATATTATTATAAATACTTTTTCTTATTAAGCTTAATAAAATCAAGTAAAGATAAGTATAAATTTATTTATTTAATAATAAAGAAAAGTTATAAAAATAAAATATAAAAATTATAAATAAAATATAAATTATAAATTAAAGAAATCTTTAAAATTTTATATTATAATAATAAAATAGTCTAAGATATTATATTATAAATAAGAAATTAAAGAAAATAAAAGTAAAAAATTAAAATAATAAGATAAAAATAAAGAAAAAAGAGAGATTAAAAATAAAAAGAAAAAATTAAAAAAATAAAAAATAAAAAAATTAATAATAAAATATAAATATAAAATTATATTATTTTATAATAAAGTAGTTTTATATAAAACTTAATTTAAAACTAGAATAATAAATTAATATTAACTATTTTATAATGGACATATTTAATTTTAATTTAAAAATTTAAAAATTTATAAATTAATATAATATTAAAATATATTTATATTAATTTTTAGATTATAATTTAAAATAATTAGCTATAATAAATTTTTATTTAAAGTTCAGATTAATTAACTATATATAAAAAAAGTTATTTATATGAAAAATAATATTTATTTAATATAATTTCTTAATTTGTATTTCAACCAAATTTTTTTAATATTTTTTTATAATTTGAATAAATTTTTATTATATTAATAAATTTTATTTAGTAAATATTCTTTATTATATAATATTTTAATTATTTTATATAAAAATTTTATTTAAAATATAAGTTAAAAAAATTTTATTTATGATTAGATATAAAGAAATTTATATTTTAATATAAAAATAAAGTAATATTTTTTAAAAAACTAAATAATAATTATTTTTTTTTAAAAAAAAAGATATTTTAAATATTATTACTATTAATTTATAATATTAATTTTAATTTATATAAGTAAATTATCTTAAATTTATAAATATATATTTCAAATTTTATAAAAATTAAATTAATAATTATAAAGAAATTAATATTTAAAGCTTAATAATTAAATTATTTATTATATAATCTTTATATTAATTTAATTAAAATTTATATTATAAAATTTAAGAAATAATAATTCAAAAAGTTATTATTAATAAAAAATTTTTTATAAAAATATATAATAAAAATTTTTATATAAAAATAAATTTAATATCTAATAACTTAATTAAATAAAATGAAATTAAAATTTTAATTTGAAAAAATAATCTATTAATATTTATCTAAGATATAAATCTTTTTATATCAGATTATAATTAAATTTTTAAATACAAATTTTTTTACTATTTGAATAGAATATTTAATTAATAAAATTTTAATTTTAATTCTAATTCTAATAAAATAATTAATTTAAATTAAATTATATAAAAAAAGTTTTTCAGATAAATTTATTTAAAAAAATATATAAATTAAGAAATATTAATTTAATATTTTTATTTTTCAATATTAATTTTTTAATTTTCAAATTTTAAAAAGAATCTTATTTTTATATATATTTTATTTATAAAGTTTTATTTTTTATATATTTGTTTTACTTATTATCTATTTTATAAATTAAAAATTATTATAACTTTTATTAAAAAATTATTATTTTATTATAATAATTTGATTAAATTTTAAGTATAATTTGATTTTTATAGTAATTTTTTATGTATTTATTTTGAAATTAATTTTTATTATTTTATTCAAATTGAAAAAAAAAATATTTAAAAAAATTTATATTAATTATATATAAGAATTTTCATATTATGTTTAAGTTTTAGCTTTTTTATTGCTTAATTTTATTTAGAAATATTAATAATTTATTATTTTATGTAAGTTTTATATTATATTAATCAAACTTTCATTAATTTTCTGTTTTTATTTTTGCAAAGATATATTTATATATAAATAATTTTATTTTACAATTAATAAGAATTGATAAAGATATTTATAGAGAAATAAAAAATAAAACTGAAATTTGAAAAAATTTCGCTTAAAGATATATCAAAAAAGTGCAAGTTATAATTAATATAAGTTATTTTACTTTTTACTAAATAAATAATATTATAATTTATTTTAAGACAATATAAATTAACATGTGTCAAGTTAGTGGCACAGCGTCCCATCGCAACCAATAAGAATTTTGCTTATAATCCACGTGAGACAATTTTATACATGTATCGGTATATAATCTTTGAACACAGCAGCTTTTAAAACGTACATTTGTGCTATCAACAATATTTTGATGTACATAATTGACCACACCGATTTTATTTTCTAAAGAAAACATGGCGCGCAAAAAAATTCGGACCTCTATATCAAGAATTTCACTACCGTTACTTGGACATGATGTGTTCACACAAGTTCCACCTGAGATATTCATAAAAATTTGTAGTTACTTGCACCCGAAAGATCTGGCTTCACTAAATGTCGTTTGTCGTCTTTTCAATAATTATCTTTCATCGACAGAAACATCATCCAACGTAATCTGGATGGATTCAAAACAAAACATGTTGCCGCCTATTGATATTTCTCCACCGGAGGGAATGGATGAACGACACTTTTTAATGAGTATTTATGGAAAGTGGTGTCAAAAATGTTGGAAAAAAGAAAGAAAGACCAATTCTGTTAAATGGGAATTTCCTTTACAGTGTTGCGCACAATGTCGAAATTCTATTGTTAAAAGGTAATAAAATATATATTAAAGAATCGTTGGATTTTGACAATCTAATTAATAATGTTTTACAAAATATAAAAAAGCTATGAAGATTTTACAAACAATGTTATCCCTATTTTACGAGCACTTCCATCCGCCATTCATATTCCTGATAAAAGATTGACGAAAATCAGAATTGAACTTCAATACTGGGCTCCCCAAGTCCAAGGCGTCTATCGTGAATATTCGCGATTGAAAACCATAGAATTGAAAAGAAAGTTCTTACAATCTCTTAAAGAGCAAAGTCGCAAAAAAGAAATTGAAATTGCAAAATACACATCATGGCAAGAAGAATATAAGAAAAAATGCGAAAATTTTAAAATTCAGGCAATTGAAAATCGCAGGAACGCAATCATAAGCCGCGTTTACGAAATGATGAATGAACGTTACGACGACGACGGTAAAGAATTTAAATGGCAATGGAAAACTCTCAACGACTTAAACGCATATAAAAATGCTATAAAATCAAAATCCACTGCACCATTTACTGAAAAAGCTTGGAAATTATTGCGCAGAAAAATTGAAAGTGCTCATTACATTAATATGAAGATGTAAAAGTTCGTATCATATCAATTTATGCTGCTTGAACATTTTTCATTTTACTGTTGGAGAAAGTCGAATCTGTAATTGGAACATTTTTTTATTAAATTTATAATTATTTTTTTTGCTCGAATATATTTTTTAACTTTGGTGATCAGTTCAGTCAACTCCTAACACTTATCAATACTCTTCTAATTATCTACTAAAAAAGAACGCTGCTCTTAGAAAATGGTATCTTGTTCGATATAATGCTCAATTAATTAGTTCTTTTTTTATCAAAATCCTAGGCTTTCAGAAATATCTTTTATTACAATCGGTTCATTAGATGCATAATTATTTTTACATTCACTGTCTATAGAATCAGCAAAACCAGTTTTATTTAATATCGATTACATGTATTTATATATAGTGCACCCCAGCAAATATGCGTCACTACTGAATTTTTAAAATGTACATATCGATATACCGACACGTGTATTACATGTACATGTATAAATTTTATAATTAATTTTTTCATACCCTATTGGTGAATAAATTTATTAGATACGCAAATTTAAGTAAAATCCTGGTCCCATCGCCGCCACCAGCAGGCATTTAGAGAGGAATTGGAGTTGCGCTAGACGTAGCAAAGAGGCAAATTGTCGAGATCCTCAGCGAGTTTTTTGAAGGAAGACACAATAAAAAAGTACTTGTTGCGTAAGCATGAGCAAAGATTTACATGCCATTATCGTTATGACAGATAGCGATAGTAGTCAACATTTAACTAAATATGGGTATCACTGTTTGCCAACAAACGTCACTTGTTATGATGTTATTTGATGTTACGATCAGGGACTTGGGAAAATTCTGATATATAAGATATCGGTATAAAACGGAATTTTGAAATAAAACGGAATAGAATGGAATAGGATAAATCGATATAAAGGGAATTTTTATAAAATATACAGCGACTCACTAAAAAAACCCTATTACACATCGCTAAATAAGACTACCATTCTATATCCACCCCTTGCCTGTATCACATCATTGACCCTTTGTGGCATTGAATTGATCTTTCACAAAAGTCAATTTCGATGCGCCTCCAAGTAATTTGTAGCTTTTCCCACAAATTGGTTTTATTTAAAAGTGGACCAGGAAAATTCTGCAAGCGTGTATCAAATTTTCGATTGGATTTAAGTCGGGGGACTGGGCGGGCCAATCAAGCAAAGTGATGTCGTTATCCCTGAACCATCGCTTGGCTTTTCCGGTTTCCATCTCCAAATGCGATTAGCGGACTTGATTTTAAGTGTTTCCGTCTCGACTTTAGCTGTGTTTATTTT